CTCCTCCTCCCTTCCTCGTTTCCCATCAACTGTCTGCCATGGTCGGTCTTCCCATGCGTATCTCCTCAGTAACTAGTTACTGCTGGTACCTTGTGTCGGGACACCCACGGGGGCCGTAAATGTCCTTGGCGTGGGGGTAGGAGAAGGTTGGAAGGGGGGGTACTACGGTAGGGGTTCGGGGTCCACGCCGAGGGGTCACGGTATGGCCAACAAAGTGATGAGTAAAATTTTGGGCCCAGGATCTCACTGACGGTTACGCCGGGCGCGGCCCGGCCCCGGTGCCCGGGGCCGGGGCTCCGACGGTTCCGAGTTTGGTTGGACCGTACCGTTCACTGAGTGGCTGCCCCGTCACCCCGCTGGGCCTCGCACGGTGTTCGTGCGGCAGTCACTGCCAGTGGCAACCGTTGTACGTTTTGAATACTGAGCAGGCGCCGCAGGTGTCTCAGTGCAATGATCGTCAGCTCTACTTCAGCCTCATACTTCTTTACTCGCATGGCCTCTAGAGCTGCGCGAAGTTGACGTAGCGTAGACTTCCAGCGGTCCCTTCACTAACACCATCACCTCCGCCTTGATCGCTTCCGAGGCTGGGATGTCGAAGCGAAGTAGAAGCCCCTGGCAGTGGATCTCAGTGACTGACTTCTCATCAGGTCAGGGCAAAGAGGCGAACCTTCGAGTGAGCAAGAGACTTTCCTTCAGCGTTTCCAGAGTGAACAGCAAGGGGAGCAATGAGAACACTGCCATCGTCCTGCTTGACTAGCTCATGTCCTCGTATCAGAGCCTCTTTGGCCTCTTGCAGACTGCAACAAGGTCAACTGTATGCAACTCTCCTCCCCTCTCACCTGTTGAAGGCCCTTTGAGCCTCTTCAAATCGATCCGCATGTTTGTCCGGGTGCACCCTGAGCGAACATTTGCTGCCAGACTCCCGTCAGCAACTTCTTGCTTCGACGCACATGACAGGAATGAACCGAAACTGTCGCTCAATCGCGGCATGACTTGGTCCCCCTTCCAACAGCAGAGCTTGCAGCTCGATGTAGCTTGCAGAAAGCGCACCATCCTGAATTGCGATACCTTGAGATACCTTCTATGCATGGACAGGGGCTTACAAGAGAGATGTTTGTGTTTTCCTTTGGCCTGTCTGCCTCAATTCGAGCTGCTAGAGCTTCATAAAGCTGTAGAAACATCAGAAATAGATGGAGATTGGAAGAGGTCACCTCATCCAGGTAAACTTTCGATCTGTGTAGAACGTCTACTATCACCACGACGCTCCCAACCTTGAGCTGAACAGCAGAGAATGATTGGGAGCCTTCCTCTCTCCTCCCCTTTCATTACCTGACTAATGATGTCTTGATAGAATGCGTATCCTGCGTTCCTATCCTTCTCCTGCCAGACAATGTTTTCAGCAGAGCGTAGAGCACAACAAACCAAGAACAACCTGAGCCTCGAACACACAGTAGCTGAAGATCACAAGGCTGGGAGGATCGACATCTTCGCCGAAGACAGCTTCCCAACCCTTCATATTGGGACCCTTCCAGTCTTCGAATTTGAACTGCATGTCGGAGTACTTCAAAACCTGCTGACAATCCGCCTCGTCTTGGTGCTTCTCGTTCGTTTCTTCATTCGAAACGTTCTGAGTCAAGTTCTCCTGATCTTCACTGTTGCTCTGTACAGAATTTACAATGTTCTCGATGTTGTCCATGATGTCAGCTTTGCTCGTGAGAGCGTCTTTGCTACATCTCATGTCATCATCTTTCAAAGACAGCTCTTTCAAAACCTGAATCTTGCGTTCACATCTACGGTTTCAAGGTTCATGAATACTGCAGGCATGAGTTTCGCTCCCTCAAGCAAACTCTTGAGCTGCGGCAAAACCTTTCTCCATCGCTTCGTGCTAAGGAGCGCAAAGTCAGAAGACCTCATGATACATACAACATGTCACAAGTTACCCGTCTGTATCCAAGATTGTACAAAACATTGTGCGACTGCTCATAAAAAGTTTGGAGATCCAAAGGAGAGCTGCTGGCTCAGATCCTCCTCCATTCCCCACAACTAGAGTACGAAGAGGGGGCATGATAGCCTCCTCTGCATTCGGTTCCTTGAGCTCGATGTTCAGCAACCGTGTTAAGGACTCTTTGCACTGTTGGATTTCAGGATCGTTCTTCTCACGGTTGGAAGAAAAGATGTGCTGGAAGATGCTGACAATGGCCTTGGACCAAGAGTCAAAACAGCATCGAAAGAATTCCGACAGACCTGCCCTCTCCGTTCAAACTTTTGCGATACAAAACTTCTCTGCAACTGAGAAATTTCTTCTTCCTCGGAATTCCTCTTCTTGGTTTTACTTTGCTCCATAGCAAACAGATACGCAACACGAGTGCGGTCGAACCATTCAAAGACTTCTTCTGGGAGCATCTCCTCCTGTTCTTTCCCACGCTGTGATCTCTTCTGACGAAACTCAACATTCGCCTGTGATTGAAGAATGAATCCGCATTTGTCGACTTTCCATCCTGCTTACCTGCAGAGTCTCTATCCTCTTCTTCTCTTCCCATTGCAGCTCTTTTGGAGACAAGCCGCTCTTTTTTGACTCCTGTTTCCATGCGGGCTGAGGCTTCCTTGGCATTTTCAACCCTTGCCACTTTCGGAGACAACAACTTTGCCACTTTTCTCGCTATCCAGCTGTTCTTTCCTTCACTGCCCGCCTCCACCAGCACAAACCTATCCTGACTCTCTTACGCTTCCTGTGTTTCTGCTCCTACTCTCCTTTCCTTGCCCTCCTTCCCTGCCACTCACGCCGCCCCTCCTCGCATGACGCACGTGAAGTGCATGGAGTGTCGACCGTTATGTGAGGAATGTTCTACAATAACGATATGCAACCACTGTACAGCGATGTAACGGTACATAACGACCCATAAATGTAACTGCCCGTGTCCTCATCCCCCCTCGTTCACTTGCCTCTTTGTGGTGCCCCCTGAGTACCCCCACCCCCACATGTAAATCTATGACGACCAAATACCCTGTGTCTTGACCGTCATTCTTGCTAAGATGTACCCGTATATCTATACCCCTACCCCCATTAAATCCTGCAGGCTTGCCTCCTGCGTTCACCAGAAGTCGCCATGGTGTTGATCGACGTGGAGGAGCGAGGTGAGGGGAGGAGGTGGAACGCGAGGAGGAGGCCGAGGAGAGGAGGGGAAGAGAGCAAGAATATGGGAGCGGGAAGGTTAATGATAGAATGTAGAGAAGTCTAGTGACCTCGTGGAAGGCACCGAACAAGAAGGTGTCAGGGAATGGTGATTTGCTGTTCTTCTCAGATATTGGGATGGTCAAAGGGCATATGGAATTAGCGGAGAGTGTGACTGAGCAGATGAATGAATAAGAGAGAGAGGAGAGAGGAGAACAAGGGCATCGAAAGTTATACTGATGACTCCAAATGCAGAATCGTACGGGACTTTTTCAGACGATGACATAGCTGGACTGAGGAGCGAGGCGTCTCAAAGAGAGGTGACTCTCACTCTTCCTGCATGCTATGAAAGTGACTGCATGTTGATAGATCGCGCGCTCCAACCCCCGCTTCATCGAAGAGCACGAGAAACCTTTTCACTTGCCATGGTTCACCAAGATTATGATCGGCATCGCCGTGCTGGGATTCATGTGCATCGGAACTCTCCTCCTCACCGCATTCTTCTCCGGCAAGTTGGGCATGATGTCTGTGACGCGAGGAGATCTAGCGAAGTTGGCGACCATCTCTGGTGTGCCAGGAGTGCGCAAGTCGAAGCTGCTCAAGGCGGCTCTGAGCGAAGGGAAGTACTGTGAAGAGCATCCTCACTCCAAGGAGTGCCAGGAGCTGAATACGAGCGTGTACGGGACGAGGATCCCCAAGGGAAGGATCAAGAAGACTGTGTTCAAGGGGCTCATCGACTACAACAAGATCAAGAAGATCCCCAGCATTGCTGGTGACTCTCTTGCAAGATAAGAAAGAGAACTTGACATCTTGCCCGTGGGGGTTGTGCGGTTCATGTGGAGATGGTGACGAAAGCTATACACGCGTTTTGAAACATTTTTGGACCTCATTTGGACGTGTGAATTACTAGTTTGATCCTAACCTTAAAGTGCATCGTAAAACTTCCTCCTCCTCCCCTTCATGCTTGTCTTATTCGCTGCCTTCTTTGTCACACCTCTCCTGTTCCTGTTGTGCTCGTGAGCTTGATGTGCGGTAGGTACCCACCTGCTGCATAGCTCTCCAGCATAGCTTTCAATCGAGTCAGGTTGACTAATACTTGGGTTCCATGCTCAAGCTTTGGCTGATAGTAGAGAGACGGTAGATGAGAATTCAAGGTCTCCTCTCCTCGTAGATACTGCTGCCCTGCAGTGCGATATAAATCTCCGAAGGCTTCATTGGTTGACATACAAGCAGGGAGTGATCGCTGACAGGAAGCGAGAGAGAAGGCTGCCAAGCTCGCAAGTCGGGCTTTGATCCAGCGACAGAGTCCCTGCAGCCATCTGGAAGTGAGACAACGAAAGCAGCAGTCAGGTGAGGAGGAACATTAAAGGTCTCGGCAGGAGGGAGGAGCGGTCCTCCAAGTTTGAGCTCTGCTACCCCTCAGCCATGTCCCAGCATCCGAAAGATTTCACCTCATCCTCCTGTGCTGTTTCACCGACGTACCCGCGCATGCCTTGCTCAACCGGATCCTGCAGGCAGAGATCGACATGCCTCACTTGCCATGAGCTCCCAGCATGTGGGCAAGGAAGAGGCGGAGGAGAAAGCAGAGGAAAGGGCATCGAGACTCCAATGCTCTGCAGTACGCAGGCTGCAATCCACCAATCGAACCAGCGTCTCACGCGTCTGAGGACAGCATTAGGGAGCAAAAGAGAAGGAGAGGATGAAGCAGGGGTCGGCAAGAAGAGAGAAAGGAGAGAAAGGAGAGAAAGGAGAGATGAGTAGGTGAAGAGACTAAGGCAACCTCAGCCGGACCCTTGTGAAGGAGGTATAAGACTTGAGGACGAAAGATTGACTGGCTTCTTGTGTGTAGAGTAGCTTCTGGCATGCGACAAGAGAAGAGTGCCAACGGAAGAAGAATCTCATGATGAGGAGTTTGGTCTTTTGTATCATGATCTGCATGTCAATCAGCGAACATTAGCTGAGAAGACTCTTTCTTTGACATATTCGATATGAACTCTCAAGATTGCTCGATTGGATGTTGAGAGTGACCAGAATTGAAACAAGTCCTTTGTCAACCTTTTCGTCCAGGCACGCTGCCTGTGAACAACATTTCAACTTGCAGCCCTCAGCATGTTTCCTTTCGCAAGACCTCTGAGATGCGATCTTTGATGACCGTTGTATTTCCCCAGTCTTGATTTTCCAAGATGCAAGTGCTCTCCACCGCGTCTTCGTCTCTTTTCTGCGGAGCAAATTCTCGATCTTCGCCCTCAGCTCGTACCTTGTCGAGATCTGAGAATTGTTGTCAAGCTATCAGATTTTGGCTCATCTTCTACAGTTGCACCATATCGTCCCATCTCCTGAAGGCGGCTCGTTGATGCTTCTGGTTGCGCCTTTTACGATGAACTGAAAGGACCTGCAGCATGATCAGGAGGAAACTAGAAATGTGAGCAAAAATGACCATCTCTCGGCATGACGACCCGACAATCCACTTTCGAAGGATCTTTGAGAGATTCATCTTCATCTACGCAACACAGTCAACCTCATTCGTGGAGTTTTCTTCAATCAATCTCACTTGCAGACTTTCAAACTCTTGTGCTCTGCTTGCTTCCGTCTCTCTTCTCCAGATACAGAGATGTCGGCTGAGATTCTTCTTTTCGCGCGTATTCTCATGTCGTTTCAACAACTTCATCCTGTTTAGCAAGGTTTTCATGCGAGCGAAGAAGGTGGATTTCAATCTTTGAGATTCCATCCAAGTGTAGACTTGCCGACATCGATCTGTCATGTTGCTAGGACGGGCACGAGGTCCACGTGAGAATTTAAGAAGCGACTGTACGAGAACACGAGATGTGATCTCCAATTCCCGATTGCTGTTGTTACTTGCCTTGCACATGATGTCAGCAATAAGATTCCATTCCCTCACTGCTGAAAACAACAAAAGTGTTTGAGCCGATCTCTCTCTCTTTCTCCTCATTGCCTTCCATTTTATCCACGCATGTCTGAAAAGCCTATAGGAAACCAGGTAAGAAATGTTGTAGAAATGACTCTGGAGGCCTCGTTTTCGTTCAGCATATTTCTGCCACCTGAAGAATGATGTCTGGAACGAACTTATCAAACGCACATATCAGCTGGAGAGGTTACCTCTGCTGTAAGATGTTTACGAACAAGACCAGACTCCAACGAGATTCCCCACCTACAAAACTTTCTTCAGGACAAATATGTTGCCATATCACGATAGCTCTTCATTCCTGGATCGCAGCTCTGCCATTCTGTGGCATTCTAACACGAAGTGAGACAGTAAATGCACACTGGAGATGTGTTGTTGAATCTTCTCCTTCAAGACATGCACTCGTTTGAACTGTTGGGGATTGGTTCGTACTTCACTTTTCACTTGGAACTACCGAGATCGGTGAGAGAGGTGTCACAGAGAAAAGCAATCACCATCTGAATCTTGTCTATATGGCCCAGCCCCTGATCATACAAGTTGGACATAACCTTTCCTCTTTGTTCTTGTGAAATGATCCGTTTCACATCTTGAAGATCCTGAAAGCTGCATTGTTACACCTCCTCGAAGAGATGTCACGTACCGACACATCATGTCTTCTTGCTGCATCCAATGATTCTTCCATCGTCATCAAAGCGGTATGAATCGAGCTTTGCAAATCTTTGATCATAGAGCTCAACTCCAGCACATCTTCAATTTCATTGATGCTCTTGTGGACAGCGTTGGACTGAAGACTTTCAACGAATTCAGAGCGCTGACACTCGAATGAGTCATACATCTGCGACAGCTGAGCACGCAGATCTGCTTGGCTCGACGCTAAAGCTATCAACTCTGATCCCATGAATTCCTCAAAGTCTCTCCCATGAGCGGGCTGACCATTCTTCATCTCCAGCTCTGGTATAGGCCCAGCTGGCAGGCGCTTCAACATTGGTTCTGGTTTCGTGATTTTCTTCTTTGAAAAACCATCCGATTGTGAAGATCTACATGACCTTGAACGTGGTTTGCTGACTTCGTTCCGCATCCAGGCCTGGGGCGCCTGCTTCACAAGAAGTTACTGTCAAGACCAACAAGGCGGCACCGGCTCAATAGGTAGAGTATCATCTCTTCGAACTCATTCTTTCGTCTCAGAAATCTCTTATCACATGATGCCTCTGCCTCTTCTACCTCTTGACCTCAGCCATGCCATGCAAAAAAGTTCCCGCCGCTCGGAACTTGACAAGCTACAAAACCCTTTTATTATCCGAGCCCGCGCGGGCCGCCGATTCGGATGGTCCGGCGATGGCACTGGGTCCGATCCGATCACTCGGCGCGGCGGTCACGCCGTCACATGATTAACCGGCCGGTCCCGGGCCCAGTTGAAGGTTAGTAGATGAGTGCGGCATGCCATTGAAATTGAGTTGACGGTAAAGAAAGATTACACCGTCTTATTTCTCTTCAAAATTGAGGTTCTAAGCTCGTGTTGCGAGTAGTCGCGGACTTCTTGACCGGTACCTGCAGCCCCCCCGGTACTACCTCCACCGAGTACGACCCTCGCTCCCGGATCGGGTTGAAAAGCTCGTGATGCTCCGCAACCCACTCCTGGCTCTTCTGGTGCAAGCTCTCCATGCTCGTCGTCGACGCAACCGTATCCTTGATCCCAAAGCTCTGCAGACTGCATCGCCTGAGTACCTGCTTGCCCTCGTCAGACCCTCGGACTGCTTCGGACATGGCGATGCACTAATATCACCCCGTCGCCTCTGACGCCATGCTTGACGTCCTTGACCAGGTCGTCTTGCAAGCTGCTCCTCCTGTCGACAGCCTTGCTGCCTTGGTTCAAGCTCACATGCAGGTCGATGGGCCTGTCGATGTCTCCGTACGGATCCAGCTGCGCCAGCACCCAAGCACACTCGCTCTCAGCCCCGGGCCCTCACACGCGCAGCAGAGCGCTGCCTTACCTGCTGCCGATGCCTCTCCTCCTTGTCGTCGTCCCGCACGTGCAGCATGAGCATCCGGGAGACGAGGCCGACTTTCTTCTCTACGGAGTGCTCTTTCGAGCTCCTCTCATGCTTGTACTTGAGGTCGTGCCCTAGCCACTCGTTTGTTACTTCACAGTGTCTCACGTACTCGTGATCCGCTGGCTTCACGCCCTCCACCCGCATCCCAAAGTACGTCCTGTACCCCTTGGTGTCCTTGAGGCTCCGCACCTCTATCGTCGCCTCGACCGGTAGCGCCTTCCTCCCCGCCTGCTGGCTCTTGCCGTACAGCAGCATGCTCCCTGCCTCGCTCCGTCCCTCTCCGCGGATGCCCTCCAGCAGTCTGTCACGGTCCGCTGCCTTGGTGGCCGGGCCCAGCAGCTGCCTGTCCTTGCCCTTGTCAGCATCGACGGAGTCCTACAGGCTTGCTCCTCCTGCCTTACCTGAGCGGGAGGCCTGCGTCCGGCACTTGACCGAAGAGCTTCTCGAAGGGCTTGTTGGCGACGAGCAGCATGGGCTCGCCATCGGGGCTTTTCTTGAGGCCGACGGCGAAGGGGGTCTGGGCTCTGAAGTCGGAGCTGGCCTGGATCATGTCGATTTCGCGGAGGAAGCGGAAGTTTGCGTCGGCGATACCTGTTGTCTTTGTCTGCTTTCTTGGAGTTTTCACGTTTGCAGGCTCTTGAGGAAACAGATCGTTCTTTTGCCGTATGTTACGTGTCTGTATCTTGGCAGGCTCGCAACAACGTAGGAGGAAGCGCAGAGGGGGGAGGTCGGTGAGCTGCCATGGAGGCTGCGGGTTCGGATCGCTGTTCTGCGGATCCATTCTTGCAAGAGCAGATCTTGTTTTTCGTCGCTCAGGACAAGGTCTGCTGCTAGGGCGTTTCTTCATATGGTGTCAAATAGAAAATTGTTTTCCTCGACCATATGTCTGAGACCTCACCAAGCAATCTCAGAATCACTTAACTTTTTTCGGACTCGGCATTGAAAAGGCTAGTCAAATCCCCGATCTTTTTTTTTGCGGAGTCGAATCCAGCGGCGCCGCGGCCCGGCCCGGCGGCAGCGTACGGTCCGGGTGCAGCATCACTGAGTGCCGGCGATGCGGCCGAGGGCCGGCACCCAGGCTGGTCCGATCATCCCCGGGCCCGGCATGGACTGAGGTCGACTCAGGAGACCGTCGACGGGGCCGCTGCGCCGACGGGACACTCCGGCCCCGCGGTAAGCTTTGTGCAATGTGAATCATTTGGACTGAGAATTTTCACTAATGGAGCATCAAAGGATGCTTAACCGGTACCTGCAGCCCCCCCGGTACTACCTCCACCGAGTACGACCCTCGCTCCCGGATCGGGTTGAAAAGCTCGCGATGCTCCGCAACCCACTCCTGGCTCTTCTGGTGCAAGCTCTCCATGCTCGTCGTCGACGCAACCGTATCCTTGATCCCAAAGCTCTGCAGACTGCATCGCCTAAGTACCTGCTTGCCCTCGTCAGACCCTCGGACTGCTTCGGACATGGCGATGCACTAATATCACCCCGTCGCCTCTGACGCCATGCTTGACGTCCTTGACCAGGTCGTCTCTGCTCCTCCTGTCGACAGCCTTGCTGCCTTGGTTCAAGCTCACATGCAGGTCGATGGGCCTGTCGATGTCTCCGTACGGATCCAGCTGCGCCAGCACCCAAACACACTCGCTCTCAGCCCCGGGCCCTCACACGCGCAGCAGAGCGCTGCCTTACCTGCTGCCGATGCCTCTCCTCCTTGTCGTCGTCCCGCACGTGCAGCATGAGCATCCGGGAGACGAGGCCGACTTTCTTCTCTACGGAGTGCTCTTTCGAGCTCCTCTCATGCTTGTACTTGAGGTCGTGCCCTAGCCACTCGTTTGATGTTTGACAGTGTCTCACGTACTCGTGATCCGCTGGCTTCACGCCCTCCACCCGCATCCCAAAGTACGTCCTGTACCCCTTGGTGTCCTTGAGGCTCCGCACCTCTATCGTCGCCTCGACCGGTAGCGCCTTCCTCCCCGCCTGCTGGCTCTTGCCGTACAGCAGCATGCTCCCTGCCTCGCTCCGTCCCTCTCCGCGGATGCCCTCCAGCAGTCTGTCACGGTCCGCTGCCTTGGTGGCCGGGCCCAGCAGCTGCCTGTCCTTGCCCTTGTCAGCATCGACGGAGTCCTACAGGCTTGCTCCTCCTGCCTTACCTGAGCGGGAGGCCTGCGTCCGGCACTTGACCGAAGAGCTTCTCGAAGGGCTTGTTGGCGACGAGCAGCATGGGCTCGCCATCGGGGCTTTTCTTGAGGCCGACGGCGAAGGGGGTCTGGGCTCTGTAGTCGGAGCTGGCCTTGGTTCTGTCAACCTCGCAGAGGAAGCGGAAGCTTGCGTTTGCGATTCTAGTAGGCTTGTTCTGCATAGGAGATCTCTGTGCCTGAGTATGCAAACTGCTTGTATGTACATTTCGTGGCGTCAGATTGTTGTCAGCAATGTCTTGTCTCACTTCAGCAGCCTGGAAACGATTGTGATGCACTAGGTGGGATCTTTTAATTGTTTTGGATTCGCAGCATTTTGGGATGATGGATGGAAGAGGAAAGATATCGCCCAAAGACCATTGGGGAGTCACTGACGTGTCCTGTTCTTTCCTGGAATCCCCTCCCCTGCAGTCGCACTGCAGCATGTTTAACAGCTGCCCGGTCTGTCGCTTCGCGTGCTGACGAGTCTCTTGGGCCGTGGGTACACATTTTCACTCATCGGAATAATAAGTTTTTAGTTCAATTTAGTAGTCACCTGTGGCGGGCCCGGCTTCCGGGGTCCGAAAGCCCGGCCAAGAGGGCAAAAGTTGACTCTATATGACTAGGTACGTCTCCCAGGAGCCGTACAACTCATGCCACAAGGCAAACACGAAGAATGCGAGGCTGAACAGCAGCCCCCATGGCAGCTCACCGACCTCCTCCCTCTCCACTCCTTCCAACGTTGTTGCGAGCCTGCCAAGATACAGACACGAGTCGTGAAACAAAAAATTGACCCCCTCCCTATCTCCAAGCCTACCACAACAGCTGACACAAGATTCCGCTTCCTCTGCGAGGTTGACAGAACCAAGGCCAGCTCCGACTTCAGAGCCCAGACCCCCTTCGCCGTCGGCCTCAAGAAAAGCCCCGATGGCGAGCCCATGCTGCTCGTCGCCAACAAGCCCTTCGAGAAGCTCTTCGGGCAAGTGCCGGACGCAGGCCTCCCGCTCAGGTAAGGCAGGAGGAGCAAGCCTGTAGGACTCCGTCGATGCTGACAAGGGCAAGGACAGGCAGCTGCTGGGCCCGGCCACCAAGGCAGCGGACCGTGACAGACTGCTGGAGGGCATCCGCGGAGAGGGAAGGAGCGAGGCAGGGAGCATGCTGCTGTACGGCAAGAGCCAGCAGGCGGGGAGGAAGGCGCTACCGGTCGAGGCGACGATAGAGGTGCGGAGCCTCAAGGACACCAAGGGGTACAGGACGTACTTTGGGATGCGGGTGGAGGGCGTGAAGCCAGCGGATCACGAGTACGTGAGACACTGTCAAACATCAAACGAGTGGCTAGAGCACGACCTCAAGTACAAGCATGAGAGGAGCTCGAAAGAGCACTCCGTAGAGAAGAAAGTCGGCCTCGTCTCCCGGATGCTCATGCTGCACGTGCGGGACGACGACAAGGAGGAGAGGCATCGGCAGCAGGTAAGGCAGCGCTCTGCTGCGCGTGTGAGGGCCCGGGGCTGAGAGCGAGTGTGCTTGGGTGCTGGCGCAGCTGGATCCGTACGGAGACATCGACAGGCCCATCGACCTGCATGTGAGCTTGAACCAAGGCAGCAAGGCTGTCGACAGGAGGAGCAGAGACGACCTGGTCAAGGACGTCAAGCATGGCGTCAGAGGCGACGGGGTGATATTAGTGCATCGCCATGTCCGAAGCAGTCCGAGGGTCTGACGAGGGCAAGCAGGTACTCAGGCGATGCAGTCTGCAGAGCTTTGGGATCAAGGATACGGTTGCGTCGACGACAAGCATGGTGAGCTTGCACCAGAAGAGCCAGGAGTGGGTTGCGGAGCATCGCGAGCTTTTCAACCCGATCCGGGAGCGAGGGTCGTACTCGGTGGAGGTAGTACCGGGGGGGCTGCAGGTACCAGTCAGGACCCTATCCATAGACGATTGCACGTGAAGAAGCATCGTTGTGTCTGCTGATTTGGATCACTTGTTTTCTTAGAAGTGTATTTGTCCTTGCTTTTGTTTTTAAGTACATGATATTATGCTTGCTCTTACAATCTAGAATCCTTTGATTTCCAGTCATAGCTTATCATCATAGATGTTCATGGTTTCTCTTCACATAATGGCACGGCCACCAGCTTCGGAATAGGCAACTTCACTCCCTCGTTATTTGCTGTTCATACTTGTGTTCGACATATACAGAGGATTGGCTTCAAGCAACTTTCCGTAACTGAAATGATGAAGTAGTCAAAACAAAATAAGACAACCTTCAGGTTCATACTTCTCCGGCATCTTGACCGGTACCTGCAGCCCCCCCGGTACTACCTCCACCGAGTACGACCCTCGCTCCCGGATGGGGTTGAAAAGCTCGTGATGCTCCGCGACCCACTCCTGGCTCTTCTGGTCCAGGTTTACCATGCTTGTTGTCGACGCAACCGTATCCTTGATCCCGAAGCTTTCTAAACCGCACCTTCTGAGTACCTGCTTGCCCTCGTCAGACCTTCGGGTTCTCCCGTCAGGCGATCGATGCATATCACCCCGTCGCCTCTGACGCCATGCTTGACGTCCTTGACCAGGTGAAGTTGACCTCTGATGTCGACTGTGCGTTTCCCCTTTTGGGATTTTACCTGGACATCCTTTGCAGAGTCAACTTGCATGTATGGGTCGAACTGCAAGCTCAGCGCTCAGACACTGACATTGCAACGAAATGCGTCACTCACCGCCAGGCGCTCCTTCTTCTCCTTGATGTCGTCCCGCACGTGCTTCATGAGCATCCGGGACGCAAGGCCGACTGTTCTTTCAACTTTATCTTCCATTGACGCTTTGTGAAGCTTGTACTTGAGGTCGTGCTCTAGCCACTCGTTTGATGTTTGACAGTATCGCACATAGAAAAGATCCCTGACTTGAACATTCTTCAACCGCATCCCAAAGTACGTCCTGTACCCCTTGGTGTCCTTGAGGCTCCGCACCTCTATCGTCGCCTCGACCGGTAGCGCCTTCCTCCCCGCCTGCTGGCTCTTGCCGTACAGCAGCATGCTCCCTGCCTCGCTCCTTCCCTCTCCGCGGATGCCCTCCAGCAGTCTGTCACGGTCCGCTGCCTTGGTGGCCGGGCCCAGCAGCTGCCTGTCCTTGCCCTTGTCAGCATCGACGGAGTCCTACAGGCTTGCTCCTCCTGCCTTACCTGAGCGGGAGGCCTGCGTCCGGCACTTGACCGAAGAGCTTCTCGAAGGGCTTGTTGGCGACGAGCAGCATGGGCTCGCCATCGGGGCTTTTCTTGAGGCCGACGGCGAAGGGGGTCTGGGCTCTGTGGTCGTAGCTGGCCTTGGTTCTGTCAACCTCGCAGAGGAAGCGGAAGCTTGCGTGAGTGGTCTTATTGTGTCTGGGCTGATCAGCGAGTTCAATGTCTTCTTGAGGAGGATCGTCTCTCGATCTGTCATGTGCTGGTCCCGTCTGAATCCTTGCAGGCTCGCAACAGCGGAAAAGGGAGCGGAGGGATAAGAAGTCGGTGTACAGCCACGCATCGCTGTCTTGGGCTCCTGTTTTGATCGCCTTATCTCTAGGTTCACAATCGATGCATTCCATAGCGTGTAAAGATTGGCAGCAAAGGAAATACAAGACAGCGGTAAGTAGCACACTAGCTAAGAGAACCAGAGGGAATGGAGTGAGAGTCAAGGGAGGATGATGTGTGCGAGGGGACGGTCCGGAGCAGTAAGAGAGGGGGCGTAAAGAGAGAAGACGGTTGAAGGATAGAGGAGGGCAAGGCACGATGGAGAGATGCAGTAGCGATGGAATGTGAGAACTGACAGTGGAGGAGAGGGAGGAGGGGCAGGAGAGGAGGAGTAGGAGAGGAGGGGCAGGAGAGGAGGGGCAGGAGAGGAGGGGCAGGAGAGGAGGGGCAGGAGAGGAGGGGCAGGAGAGGAGGGACAGGAGTTAAGGAGGCCCAACAGCTATGACGCTGTCGTAGCCATTTCCGAAAGATTTCAACGAAACAGGAAGATGTAGGGGTAGGGGTGGGTACCCCGCCTCATCCACTTTCTGTCAGAATCACTCAATGGACCAGGTCATGGAACAGGTTCAGTTGACAACTGGAGGGGTAGTGGAGGATGCCGTGGGAAAGTGTTTCAACGAAGATAGACAGCTTTTTAAAATGTCTGTTTGGGAGGGAGGAGTCACGGAGGGGGAGCAGCAGCAGTGAAGTGAGGTAGAGGAAGTCACTGATCAGCATTTCAATCACATACTGGCAGCATCTCAATCACATCACTTCGATACCTTCACATGGCTACCATCAAGTGATGTTTATTGTAGTTATCCTTACATTCACCTCGCAATCAGTAGACCTTCGTCTCCTCCGATTCCGTCGAAACAGAATCACTCCTAGAGCTCCCAGAACTACGATCAAGTTCGACCAGCTTCTGTTTGAAAATCTCCAGCTCGCCAGCAGCCATTTTGTAGGGCGAGAAGTTAAGGTCAGGGAAAGATCTTTCTCGGACCTGAGGAACAAAAACTAGATCAGGTCCTTACACCACAAGCTGCCCAAGGACCTCTCGTCGGAACTCCTTCAGAGCCTCGTTGATTGTGACTCCGACCGAGCTGGGTAAGGTGAGGTGAGGTTTCGAAGAGAGCAGCGGCATTTTGATGAAGAGGGCTCGATATCAGGTCATGAGGTTCGAAACAAGAAGACGGGGTGGGGAAATGCTAAGAGGAGGATGGGAAATTAGATGATTGTCACCTGAATTGTTTGCAAAACTTTGGAGTCACTTTGGCATGGTGAGGGTGCTGCATCATGCCTAGCAGGTCATGATAGACCAGCACTTGACCACTGCAGACTTTCTTTCATTCTCGTTTCAGGTCATACATGTCTGACCTTGTGTGCATCCCAGCGCCGATTCCTATCGTTGGGACTGAGATTCTTTCTGTCACCTCCTTTGCCACCTGGACACGCGCCTGTTACATCAACTAACTCAGACTCAAGATGAGTACCTCGGCTGGCACACATTCTAGTACAATGGCAAACACTCCGGCGTTCACCAGTTGTCGGGCTTGTTCAATCAGCGATACTGCCTGTTTCTCTCTTTCATGGACCTGAATTTCTTCATTTCCCTATCACCTGCTGAGCATGTTTGCCTTGGGCGCGAAACCCTCCAAGTGTTGAATAGCTCTGTGGAGTCAACCCGATATGCCCCATCACCTGTTTTATGTTACCCTGGGCTCTCGAAGAAGCCATCTCTTACTGCGATCCCCCCATTGACGAGCGTTTCAACTGTCCGAAGTCTTGCCGCATCTATAGAGCAATGGCAGGTCAGTTCCACACTGCGACGGCGCATTGAGAGAGCAGCACCAGCGCCCTCGAGTTTGATAGCTTCCATGCCACCCTCCTGTCAAATAGCATAAGATCGCTTCAGGGTGTAGCAACAAGTGAGAGTAGCTGCCTTCAAGAGCCTGTAGGCATTCCTCTGAGCTTCCTGTGCGCTGATCTACAAACAATAAGATCGGCCTCGTCATTCGCACTCTTGTTGTACCTCATAGCTTCCAAAGGGAAGGTCCCCTACCAACAACGGTCTTTTGCAGCCCCTTGAAACAGCTCTACCAGCAAGATCAATCATAACAGTTTTGAGGCATAAGTGTGATTCCTGCAGTGATGCAATATTTCGTCAAATGTAACAGGCAGTGTTGTATCATAGCCTAGGACAACCATTCCCAGGGAATCGCCCACCAAGACCTTCAACAGTACATCATCAAATATTCAAACGTACTTTTGATTGCATACCACGTCAATTCCTGCAAGGTCAACATGGACAGCTGAAGGAAAATCGTACGCTGTCGCCTACATGAGGTGATTGTCACATTAAGACCTTTTGTCGCAAAAGGTCCACGAGTGCTCACCATCGTAATGGGAATCTTCTTTGAGTACATCTTCTTCAGCTCTACGATTGTAATGTCTGCAAAGCGTCTTACAGAATTTCCCTCAAAATCTTTTCACGACTGGAATGCTCTTCGCTGGCACTTGTTGCTTCTCCTTTGGTTGGACGAGCGATGTAATTCTCTGGAGCACCCATGATGGCAGGCCCTGCAGCCAAGGGATTCCCCTTAGAGAAATATGACACCAGGTAATACAGCATCTCCACTTTGATCAGTATTTACACTCGTTTGCTTGTTTGCACCAGACCCCATGAGCTTTCGCACCATAGCCCTGAGTTCTTCTTCATTCATTGCATCGATGTCTTTCGTGGATGTCCTACCATTCAAACATAGGTTTCGATGCTATGGCAAACAAACATCACCAACCCTTGAAACCTTCTTGTTGTACAATTGATGAGCAGTCTGGACGATCTCTCAGCTTTCCTATTCGCCTTGTCAAGACTGTCCCCACAACATTCTTCAAGGAAGAACCTCCATATTGATGACGTCTGTCCCCAATGCAACTTGGAGAGCAGCATACTAGGACGTAATGCTGTACAACACGTCATGCTACACATGGTTGGCGTGCAAGCAAATCTTACCTCTCGACAGATTTCTCAAATGAAATGAGCTCACCATTAGAGCAAAAGAGTCTAGTTCTGCTCAGGGACAATTCAAGGTCTAGAAATGGACGTTTGTTAGCAAGTTGAAAGGATATTGAGCTGGCCTGACTGACTGACTGACTGACTGACTGACTGACTGACTGACTGACTGACTGACTGACTGACTGACTGACTTGACTGACTTGACTGACTTGACTGACTTGACTGACTGACTGACTGACTGACTGACTGACTGACTGACTGACTGACTTGCTGTCTGACTTGCTGCGGCAGCCCCCATTCCATTTCTTATGGAGAGGCGCATCTAGCATGTGAAATTGAAAGCAGTTTGCTCATTGTTTAAGTTTGAATTTACATTGACAAATATCAAAAACATTTTGAATACTCATACCGTCATGGAGATGCTACCCCACCCTGATGTTGCATAACAAGTTGCCTCTAGAAGAGGGGGTGAAAGGGTATACTTTTTCACCCCTCACAGAGACCTATCAAAAGTGGCTCAAGTTGGGGGTAATGACCAAGAAGGGGTAGGGGTACTGTCCTAGACCAGGGGTGGGTCTCCGTCAGAGCAATTTTGAGTTGGGTGCGCCGTTGCTGCAGGACATGGCCTAGAAGACAGGCAGTGCGATGATGAGGAAAGACCGTGAGAGCCGAGACGATGAACAGAACAGAAGGACGAGGAGAACAAGAGGACGAGGAGAACAACAAGACCGTTGGAGAATAAGAGGATTATAAGGATTATGAGGACCAGGAGATGATTCAGTGAAGAGGACGAGGAGGATGAAGATGACGAGGAGGGTGAGCCTGCCTGCCCTCAGTGGGTGAGAAGGATGAGCCTCCGATTATGGCTACAGAGAGTCGTGGATGTCGGCGAGGGGGTCGAGGCGGTAGAGGACCGTAGGCGGATCAAGAGGATTGCGATTCACTATGTCAGTGAGAAAGCGCCAGAGCTGTTACTATCAGCTGCAGAAGATGCTATAGCATGCAATGAGGATGGGACCATTGCAAAATTGAATGCTGTTTGACGGGACTAACAAGGGCATGCTGCAGGCAGCGAGTTGACTTCTTCCTTGACTAGTCCGTCATGAGGATCGACGAGCAAGACTCTCAAAGGACCATGGATGTCTTACAACGGCCCAAGGAGCTGATCAGCGAAGTCATCTCGGCCTTCAGACAGGGAGAAAGCGTGAACTACGTGTCAGGTCATATGCACAGACTTCGCAATCCGAGTGTAAGCATCTGCAACAGGGCCAAGAACAACAGTCGGGATAGTGTTGAACGGAGTTATGATAGACTTCATGGTGATTGGAGGAATGAGTCGGGTCCTTGTATGATGACTGTGTTTGAAGATTCCTGGTGGCCCTGCTAGTCAGAATGAAAACTTGGAGCCCAAGGTTCACCGAAGGTATGAAACGGCCAAGTCGTGCTGAGATGTCACTTGCAGGATGAGATTGTTGAGGTTGATTCTGTGGCGGCTACTCCGGACAATGTCACCTCCCTACTTCGAGGATCAGATGAAGTTGGAACTCTCGTAAGAGGAGCTGTGTTTGGAAGGAGAGCATGAGACGTATCACGTGCAGGTTGAGATCAAGTTGAGGAAGCAGGAGACTTCGGAACTTGTCAATGTCATACTCAGCCGGATGTCGCTAGCCCACGTTCATCACATGCAGGTGATGTCTTCAGGCCAGAAAGCTTTGGCGTGATGAAAACTTTCACTCAGGTTTACAATGAATTGTTCGAGCAACTGAGATCGGTGAGCAAACGATATCCAGAAGTCGCAGACTTTGTTCGACGCGTCGGTATGAAAGTGAAGGAGATCGATTTCTATCACAACCAAGTCGAAGAAGAACTTCGTGGAAAGATCATGTCTTCGACCAAGCAACTGCAGAAGGTGCTGGACCTCTTGCGCGAATCTGAGTCGTCGAGCACACGTGGGTCAAAGTATTTGGATTCGAGTCAAGAAATGCAGAGGGTCATTGCGCATCTCCAGAATCAGTTGAGGAACTCAGAGATCGCTCAGAATCAACTGCGAGCTCAGCTAGCTCGGGCCGAGCAGAAGAAGAAGTTGTCATCTGGAAGCAGTGAATCCTCTGCCATCTTGAACAACACGCGCACCACTGCAGACTCCCACATGTTCTCCCGGCTAGACGAGATTCGGTCTGCTAGGAAAGATCATTACATCCTCATGGAAAACGAGATTGAAGAGCTCAGCGTCAAGTTGCGGGAATCTCAGAATGAGCTCGAGATCATGAGCAGCGAGAAAGACGAACTGCTGGGCCGAGAGAAGTACTACAAGAGTCAGATCCAGACCTTGACCAAGGAACTGGATTCGAAGCAGCAAGAGCTTTCTCGAGCTACGAATGAAGTGTTCAAGCTACACCCGTACAAAGATGCCATGAGCGATGCCTCTCTGGTCAAGAAGCAGCTGAATGAAGCTGAAGGCTTGTTGGAAAAGGCCTTGGAGAGGGAGGCGAACATAGAGATCGAGTATCACGACGTCAACGAGAGATTTAGTCAAGCTCAGAGAGATGCGAGGATGAAGCAGTCGAGCCTTGAGGACGAAATCTCGCGGTTGAAATCTCAGCTGGAAGAAAACAACATCTACACGGAGAAGATGCACGCGGATCTCGAAATCTTGAGACGCAAGAAAGATTCCCTGGAGGAGAAGATCGTGACACTGGAGCGAGAGTTTGACAAGAAGAGTCAGACGCACCTAGAGGTCGAGAGCGACCTCACCAAGCAATGGAGCTCAGCGAAAGAACAAGTCCAGGTCCTGCACGCCAAACTAAAACATGCCCATGATCAGCTCAACGATGCCTTGGCCTCGGAGCTGAGGCTGAAAAGCATGCTCGACGAGTCTCACGCCATGGCTGAGAAATTGCAGCAGGCGCAGCAGCAGATGGAGAAGGAATACCTGGCCAGGATCAAATCTCTGGAGGAACAGCTGTGCAGAGTCCAGGAACAGATCAGCGAGTTCCAGAGACGAGAATACGAGACGAACGAGCGAGAATGCAAGCTCATGTCGATGCTGGGTAGCCTCGAAGAAGAGTTCAGGAGCTGCCAGAAGTGTCTTCGGGAAAGTGAGCTTCAGAGCCAAGAGAATAACTCAAAGAGACACGAGTATCAAGCCATGGTTGAGAGGCAACGGGTTGAAAGCGCCACGAGAGAGGAAGAGTCGTCCAGGAGAATTCAAGATCTCAAGGGTGAAATCAGGGAGCAGCAAGCGAGGTGCCTGTATGCGTTGCCTCGTCCTCCCCTCATCATGTGTGCTGCTTGCAGGACGCTGGAAGCTGAGAACAAGATACAAAACCTGGAGACAGAGCTGCTCGACCTGACCATGAAGCTGAAAGTCAAAGCAGCACAGGTGACTTTCATCCATGTCAAGTGCGAAACTCGCACCGCTCACGGGCTCCCGTCAGGCCTCTGAGCTTGAAGAGAAAACGTACGAGCTGGAGAAATTGCTGCACAGGGGCGAAGAGACCAGCAGGAGGCAGCGAGACGACTTCATCCTCAACTCACAAGCTCGCACTTGGCAACTTGACGCGTTGAAGAAGAGGATACAGGTCATTCTGCACTCATTGCTACCGCCCATGCTGACCTCATCGAAATAGAACTTCTCCGAGAAGGAAATGCAAGCAAGCGCGCGGGAGCACGAGCTGCTCAAGACTCTTGAGAAGAGTCAGACTAGCCTTCTGCGAGCAGAGAGCAGCAACGTACACTCAGAGCTTGAGGGCAGGCAGCAGGTGATCTCGACGTCGGCAGGCTGTGACGTGTCGATCTGAACAGAAGTTTTTGCAGACTGAGATGCTGAAGATGAAGATCAGGTCCCTGGAAGAGAAGCTGGCAGCATGTGAGAAGGACAACGAGAACCTGGAGCGCATCATCAACCTGCCAGCTGAGGAGCTCGCGAGTCAGACGCTCGAGAGAAGTTTTGCCGTCAAGCGAGCCCTCGGGATTAAGGATGCCAACAGCTCACGGCGAGCTGGAAACGACTACTCCAGCTTGGAAGGAGCCTCGTCTAGGGCAGGGAACCCAGTCTCCTTCAACAAGGATGACAGCGCTCCTCCCCAGTCCAGCGATCCTGCGCACAGTGACGGCCGATCAGCGACGCTGGAGGACAGGAAATCTGGCATGGGATTGCGAGAGGATCAAAGTCAAGGTCCTGACGGTAAGAGCTCGGCACGGCTGAGCCCCCCCGGCCTTGTGAAAGGAACTTCTTCGATCTCTCCTCTTGCCCAGCAGGTCATCACTGCCTTGTCCACAAACACCTACGTACCTTCCAGCCGCCAGAACGCGAACGGCAAGACGTTCAGACCCTCATCGTCCAACCCCGTGGACATGGACGAGAACTATCTTATTTGAATGTTGACATGTTTGAAATAAACAACATAGTGTGATCTGCTGATGTTTGTTTTTGTCATCTTGTATAAAAAGAGACATCATCGCTATCTTAGCTGAGTCAGCGCCATCCGTGCTGCTGCTTCTGACGGTGTCATGTTGGGCCTGGTAACTTTTGCCTGACGGCAAGTCAGGAATGCAAGGAAAGTCGCAAGTTGCCACTGACTCTGGGGAGGGAAGCTGCCAGCCGCTGGTGGACCGCACTGTACGGTATGCGCTTACAAGGTGACAAGAAGGAGTGAAGATGCAGGTCAGGCACAACTTGCCTGCTGATTTCTGATCCTTCATCAGCTAGGATGCCGCCTGCCAGAACCATCGTGAACGTCTCTGAGTCAGACGACGAGCAGGAGAGCCTGCGCGTTCGACCATCATGTTGAGAAGAGCGAGGAGGAGGAGGGGAGAACCTTGCTGCAACTGTCTCTGCAAGTTCGCAGATGTCTTGCGCCGTCTGCTCCAGGATCTGAGACGCCACAGAGCAGCCATGCTCTCTCTTGGCCTTGACCACAAGTGGTGCAAGGGAAGCAACTTCGTCCCAGCTCGCAAACTTCGCAGGGACATCGGTCCCCTTCCCGTACGCGATCTCCTGCTGCTCCTTCAGGTCGAGTACAACAGGAGGCAAACAAGACCAGCAGCCCATCTGCACTTGGCACCTTATACTTGTCAAGGATCATGCCGAGCAACTCAGTCGTCGGGCCCCTCCCGTCGCTTGCTCGCACAGCTGCTCTCAGCGCAGCAGCCCCCATGCTGTACCCGTTGCCACTGTCTCCCAGCAGCGGGCCCATCCCTCCTGCATCCTCAGACATCATCGACTTGCCGGACAGCCTCCTGAAACCTCACCAACTCTCACTCGTTGCGATCCTCCCTGGGAGATTCCAAGACCAATGCTCCCTGTGCCGCTGATGACTACGATGCCCTCCATCCTCCCTCCCGTTCCACTACACAAAGCAATCACTGAGTCATTCTCCACTATGGCCTTGCACGAAGGAAACTTAGACGCGCAGATCTGTCATGGCGTGTCAACTGACCAGCCCAAATCGCTCAGACAAGCAATTGAGATACCGAAAGCCAGAAATCCACATCACTGGGTGTATCACAACCTGACATTCCGAGAACGATGCACTGAACATCTTTCATATCAGCATTTCCAGCCTGATGCGTGTCAATTCTTGACACCATGGGTCATGTAGACATGTAACCTTCAAGCTGTCCTGGACTGCAGCGACGAGGGACATCGTGGCTTGATCCTTTCCCACACTATTCTTGTTTGTGCTGCCTGAAGTAGCCTTTCCAACTATTTGCCCTGCATTGGAAACTCAAATCCATACAAGCATTTCATCTCCCCTGCTCTTCCCTGCTCTGCTCTACCCGAATGAACTTCCCGACTCCTCCCCTTGCCCCCCATCCCCTTGCCTTGCCTCCTCTCAATTCTCCCTTCCTCTACTCTCCCCTGCCCTCCTCTTCGTCCCTTGTCAGTCACCTCATCGTGTTTCACCTCCTCGCTTTCTCACCTTCCCCGTCCATGACCGTCGCCTCCGTCTTCGTTGCCCCTCCATCTACCCCGATAACCAGCATTTTCCTCGAAAAGCACCAGTTGAGGCGGGTCCGGTGAAAGTGCTTTTGACCTGCGGGCCTGAGAGGAGATGTGGTTCAGATTTGAATAGCGAAGGGCGGGAAGATGGCGACGAAGCGGGAGGGGACGGGAAGGGTGGGACAAGTGGAGAGGGAGGAGGAGGTGAAGGGCATGCAGGAAGATAGCTGAGAGAAAGGGGAGGAGAGATATGAGGACGGAGGATCTCGAGACTGGATGAAGATGCAGGTGATGGGAAAGTTGTTGTCAGAACAGGCGCATCGGGCTGCCGTGGACGAAAGGAAGATGAGAACCTTGAAAATCACAGTTTCAGTGCATAGGAAAAGCTCAATGACTTAGAACAAGCACTAGAGAACCACCTGATGTTGAATCACGGCAAACACTCAAAATCAAGCATATCAAAGACCTCGCATTTGTATTTCAATTTAGAGGCAGTGTGTCAACAGGGAAGAGTTTCCTAGTGAGCAGTTCATTGAAAGAATAGCAGAGGCAAAAATGCAGTGCTTTATGAGAATGAGTGGAAGATGATGAAGGATGTTTCACATTTCATTCAAACTTTTTCAGACCGTTGGCGTCTTCTCCAAAGCAGTCAGAGATTGTTTTCCGGGTACTTCTTTCGTACAAGATCAAACATACATGTGACATTCACAATCTGTCAGCATGACGGACAACGCAAATACAGGTGAATCCCTGCTAATTCAAGGTATAGATCACTTCCCATTTTTGTGCGATGTCTTACGTATGTACGACAGATGGTAATCTGACATGCTCATTTCTGTAATAGCGTCAGCAATGTCACCAGCGCCAGGTGAACTTCATACGCATACTTTGGAATAGGAGATTTATTTGTTTTCGTTTTGTACAGGCGCGCAGAGAGGTGTCTATTGGAAAAGGAATGATAGCATGAGGCTGGTCCATCTGTTGATAGGTACAAAATCATTCCCTCCGGTAGAGAAGTCTCAGTTTTCAACAGACCCGGACCTCAAACCTGCCTTCCTCAACTTGGAGTCTCAAGCGCACCGAGGCTCCATGGAATCGGCATTACTTAACTTCAAGCAATTCTGGACGATGGTACTCGCGTCCTGTCGCCGATCTGTCTGACCCCCTCACAAGGCTGCCCAAAAGTTCAACGATGAGGAGTGGAGGCCTCCTCACCTCTTTCCCAACGACCCGCATCTCAGCCGGTGCAGATCTTTCACGCCATCCAAGAAGAGCAAAGAGGTTTTCTATGCAGCTCTTTATCATGGCAATTCATATGCACACTAGATCGAAGCCAACTATCTGCGTGAGAAATACAAAGCCCTTCGAAGACAGGTATCTTTCACGAAAAGTGGTTGAGGAATCTTACAAAAGAAACAATGCAGTTCAGTAGCAGTTTCAAGAAGTGGGAGGAGATCGGAAACAACAAGATTGAAAGCTTCTGGAAGTGCAGTGGAGCTGCTCCTGGAACCAGCGACGAAGGCTGTTGGTACATGTTCTTGGTGCTGTGGATTGGAAAGCACGAAGTATTCTGCATTCATTCCACCATTCATCGTGACACCCTGTTGTTCAGGATGTCCTTGCTGCCGTGTTGGACAAGGGCCCAGATCATCCCATGGGCTCGGTTGGACCTGTGACCAAAAATGGTTCTCACACTGACAACCTGGTAGAGTGGACTTTACAAATTCGAATCGGACGGATTGTTTCGTGGCGTCAAACGTCAGGTGCTTCCGAGTAGATTTCGGGAATCTTTGTGATTGATTTGATCTTCAGCGCTCGTACATGTACTTCGACGACCAAGATTTCTCGCACGAACTTCAACAAGAGCTGAGGGTCATGCCTGACGCTGGTTTGTTCCTGTTATGTATTGATTCTTTGTCCGACAGATAGAATCCATTTTCAAACAGCAGGCTGAAGTTTTGAAGTTTGCTGACCTTTGCTTTCGTGGTATGCCCTCGTTTGACCACTAGCACATCGTTGATGTTTCCTGCAGGCACCAACGAAGCTATCGATGAAGAGCAGCGCGCTTTTTGGAGGCAGCAAATGGTCCTCAACATACTCACTGTCCCGCCCTTTTTGTCTGCCTTGATATCTAAACCGTGACCACTAAGATGTCCCTTCCTTCTGCCCTTCTTTCCTTGTTCACTTCTCACATGACTTTGATCTTTTGACGCAGATCACTGCCCATGCTCAACTGAGCAGCGTGCAGGCGAAGCTTCCGCAGCCTCACTCTGCCCATCAGGTTGGCATTGTCCGACGACTAATGCTGATGACTTGACTGGGCCTTGCAGAACAATGCCGAGGGACACGATCACCTCGCCGTCATCTAATACAAGAGGCTTTTTGTTTTAACTTTCACTTGGAGTGTCAAGACCTTCGGGTTCCTTCCTGTGTGGACTAACAGAGCAGAGCGTTGGTACTTTAACTTGTGACTTAAATGCGTAATGAAAGCGATGAGACTACAACTGTGCTCAAGTTCCTAAGATTATGAGTCCCTGTCCGCCAGCTAGCAGATACGTACCCCTACCCTTCGAATGCAGATCCTGAAAGGGGGTAGTGGTGGAGGTCCATAGGGTGGCAGCTTGGGGGACTATGAGGGGTGGACGAGAACTTGGGCTTGGGGTGACAGTCTAATGTGTACCCCTACTTCAATAAGAAATTTTTAGATATTTGGGGGGTAGGGTGATCCTTGCAGGGAACTTAGGGATATAGCTGGGGTAGCTGTGGAGTGGAAGAGGGGGTGGGGTCATCAGCCTCCAGGTGGGTAGGGTCTGCAATGGCGAAGTTGACCTACAAATTTTAACAGCGGCATGCCGCTGTATTATGGGGGGGAGACTGGGGGGTAGGGGTACCCACAACCATGCTCGGGGGTTCGGTACCCCTAGAAAAGAATGTTCGGAAGGGGTAGGGTTATAGGAAAAGGGGGTCGGGTGGTAGAGGAGTGTGGAGATGGTGGCGGGATGAAAGCGGCCGGAGGCGGCGGAGGAGGAGAGCGATCGATAAGAATTCAGACCCTCCGTATGAAGATGAGGTTTGCTTCCCTTCGATCAGGTAAGAACATCATGGAGAAGATGTAACTCGACTTGTTGAGAGGAAGGAGAGGCAGAAATCTTTTGTCAGATCAACTTGATGTCAATCAGAGTAGTAGTGCGCGAGAGAATCTGTTTGTTGCGATGACTCAGAACATGATGTCTACATGTTTTCAATTGAAATGAGTTTTATAATCTTTATTCTTACTTTTGTCCTGACTGCAAGTTCATCCTGACTTGATGTTATTCTTTTCTTCATGACAGCACCGCGAGACCTATGGTATATTTACGTTCTCAAATTCCTTGAAAGCTATTCATATTTCTCCATGGCGGTAAGCTTGCTATCATTAGTTATCTTTACATCACGTCAGGAAAATAGGATGACGCTCTGTGTGCAGGTCGTCTGTACCATCTTCCTATCGGATGAATTCGGCTTGAACGATGCGCAAGCAGGGTTCGCGTATGGTTTAATGGGCACCTTCTCGTCAGTGTATGGGTTTGTGATTGGATTTGTGGTGGACAAGATTGGAATTCGAAGATCTCTTCTCTTGGGATGCTCCCTGTCCCTCATTGGACGTTGTACCCTCACCTTCTGTCAATCACCTATATTGCTCGCAGTCATAATGTACATATTTCTCCCCGCCGGCCATTGCTTGTGCATACCTGTCATGACGCTAGCAATCAAAGGATACACCACTTCCAAGAACAGAGGGTTTGCATACGGCATCTTCTACGGGATCATGAACGCTGGAATTTTGGTATCGGGACTGGTTGTGGATTTTTTCAACATGAAATACCCTCGAGCAAGCATGAAGTACGCTTTGAACGGCACATCAACAGCTCATACATTTGATGCTGATGGTTGGAACTTGACGGCTAATCGTTGCGTTTTTGCTACTGGGACCATGTCAACAGCTGTTATGCTCTTTGTATCCTTCTTCTTTGTGGAGAACAAAGGGTCGAGTAGATTTTCCTCACAGGTAATGAGACCGATGTTTGTGTCCTTGTATCTGAGAGGAATGAACAGGATTTCAACGATGATTCCAATGCAAAGCTGTTGCCCTCCACAGATGACTCCTGGTCAAACTCATGCACGAGGAAAAGTCTGTGCGAAGATCTGAAGGAGATCGGCACTGATTCTTCCTTTTGGCGATTTCTGGGGTTCACAGCAGTGAGTTGCAAAACTCTTGCTTTCATTTACTACGTGGGTGACATTGTCAACTCAGATTATGATTAACTTGCGCTCTTTGTTTCGTCACCTCGATGCAACGCTGCCAAAGGTTTCAGCCAGCAATTTGGTGCGTGTAGCACTGACATCTCTTGGTGCAGTACATGATGAGAGAATTCGGCGATCAAGTGGCAAAAGGCAGCATCTACGCACTGAATCCGTTAACGATCATCTTCCTTGTCCCGATCGTTTCAGCTGTCACGACCAACATTGACAATTTCGAAGCAATCCAGATCGGTCTTCATCTCCGACTGATATATTCTCCTTTTTTGAATTTTGTCCTTGTAGGCGCCTACTTGTCTGCTTTCTCCGTTTTCTTCTTGCCTTCAACACATCGCTAACAGCATGTGCTCTCTTTGTCTTCATCCTTTCTTTCGGAGAGGTCTGACCCGCTATTGCATGAAAACCCTGTTCACCTGTCTTACTCAACAGGCCCTGTGGTCCCCCAGACTTTATGATTATACAGTATCAGTGGCACCAAAGGGGAAGGAAGGAGCGTTCATGGCGCTGGGAAATGCTCCTCTCTTCTTCTCAACGATGCCAGTGGGACTCCTCTCGGGCTATCTCCTTCAGGTCGATCTCCTCTGACCGATTCCTCCTCGTCCTTCACCTGCTCTCTTTCCTCACCCTCTCCCCTGCTACATATGTTTCTCATGCCTCTGTGATCCTCAGGTCTTCTGTCCTGCACAGGGTCCCCGACGAAGCAAGGAGATGTGGTTTGTCATCGGACTGATCACGCTTTCGAGCCCGATCCTCCTGACGATCACCAAGAAGTGGATACGGGAACCCGTGCGACAGACGAAGCTGCGAGAGGTGTCTTGTGTCTCCTGCGTAGAGCATCTTCCCTGACTCGTCGGCTGATTGCAGGAGCATGAAAACGAGCTCGTGGAATTGCACGTGAATGGAAATCAATCGAACCATTCAAGTCAGCCGGAGAACGAGACTCAGTTGCTCAAGTCAAGGGGAACGTCTGGTGATAACGCAGGGTCGTCGTAGAGCTCCCTGTGGTCATGGCAAATTATTCTTTACTGTGATGAGTGCTAGTTTGGCTATTGTACATTCGAAGTGGTCAGACCTCCGCATAGAGCAATCTGAACAGCTGCAAGAGGGTGTGGGCAACGGAAAGAGCAAGAGCAATGTGCTGCAGTATCTGTGAGGCTAGTGTAAGGTGGAGATACGCCTGGATTCAGTTTCTCGGCAGTGTATGTTGGGTTCAGTCCGATTCGGCGACGATGCCAGTCTCTTGAGCAGTCTCAGCAGCAGATGGTAAAGGTGGGACACTTGTGAGCGACTTGTAAGGCTGTCGGTGGAAACAGGAGAAGGAAGATCCTGCCGCCCGCGATCTATGCTGTGGATTCGAAATCCTTTGCGAAGATCTGCTGTAAACTAGTGAGTACAAGTTCGAAACGATAGTGATCTGTTGTTACTGGTTCTTAAAGTGTCAAATTTGGCATTCTCGTTTGTCGCCGCCATGAACAAGGTCATCTCTAACGTCTGCGCATTCTCTCGTTCTTTGGCCTACGAGGAAGTGTCACGTGACGAACATCGCCTGCTCGTCCTCCTTTCTCACCCATGCCTTGTCTGCTCGGATGTCTGCGATCCCGCACGGACGCCCATGCGTGCGCTCGAAGTTTGACGCTCGTTTGCCCAGACGCACCCGCAAGATCTCGAGAGATTTCTTCATCTTCATCTCTACTGTATGGTCTGTGTGGTCCATCCTGGTCATCGAAGTGAGAAAGGGACGAACGTAAAATGGCTGTTTGTCTTGTTTGCTTCTTGCCTGACTAGCGTCTGGTATCCTTCCATCTTGTATCGCTGCCAGTCTTACAGAAATCCATATATCAATTAAGATTTCTATGCTGTTTTCCCATTCATCTGTGATTTTACCTCTTGTAGAACTCTCATTTCACCATGCCTTGCCTTCTTTCTCCTTATTCCTCGTTGCTACTCTCTCTCTCTCTCTCTCTCTCTCTCTCTCTCTCTCTCTCTCTCTCTCTCTCTCTCTCTCTCTCTCTCTCTCTCTCACGTCCTAAAGGACCATGTACCACTCCTACTCATGCACCTTGCCTCGTCCTCGTCCTCGTCCTCGTCCTGCTCCCCTCTCCTTGCTGGATCCCTTATCCCTCCGATACCGTACGGCCTCGTACTCTGGACTGCCCGACTCTTTCCCCACCCCACCCCCAATCGGGAGGTACAGGTGGGGTTCTCCGAAGAGGCCCGCCTTGGTTAGCTCCTTCATGTCACGGTACTGACCAGTTAAGCCCAACATGTGTAGATGAGAGGTACAGAAGACAAGGAAGGTGAAGAAGAAGCCAAGTATGACAAGATCACGACGACAACAGTCAGGAGATGTCAAGAGAGCAGACATGCTCAGGACAAACATGATGAAAACATAAATGAAGCATATGAATGAAGAAGACCCATGAAGAAGATGGATGAAGAACGATAAGCCAAGGATGGTGATAGCAAGGGCGAAGGACGAAGGTGGACAGCATAGAAGAACACAACGAGAGCATGGCGTTACATCACAAGGCGTCACATCACAAGATGATGCTGAAGACAAGCTTTCATACACTTGCAACCGTTGAAGGAGCGCAACGACTTGACGTCATCAAGATATGCTGATCGTCAAGCTATTATAATATCTTCCTATTTCATGAACTTGTGTGTTATGTGTTTGTGTGAATTTGTCTGCAACATCTTACTTGGCTGAATGTATCATGAAATCACATGTGTTGTTTTCAAGATTGATATTCGTAGATCATGAAATGATTTAGCACGACTTGTAACAACCCGGATAAGTTCTTGAAGACGGTGAGAAGTTCAGGGTAATGTGTCTCATCAGCGGACGAAGCTCAGGGGGCCTGATGGTCAGAACTTAGATCGGGACTTAGGAAATCGATCAGAGGACACGTAGGGGCGCAGTGTGCATTGAGGGTGGACGCAAGGATGTGAGGGTAGGAGGTTGCTGTAAATAAAGGAAGAATTGGCGGTGTTGAGTGATCAATCTGAGAGTCTAAGTTGGAGTGTCAGAAGGTTGTACAACTCGACGTGAACTCAGCTTCCGAGTCCAGCTGGACTGTGAGGATGGGTTCAGATCGTAGGTTCCAAGGCAGAGTACTTGCAAGCTGCTCAGGTGCCCGCGCGAGTACGAAACTTGGCCACAGGGGCTTCTTCTGATCGCGCTTCTGTACTTTCATGATATCTGGAGGAGGCATGCCAGGTGCTGGGGGAGGAACCTATGAAGAGTCGGAAAGCGAGATGAGAAGCAGCTGCTGCTGCTGCAGAAGGAGAACTTCGGAATGAGAAGCAGCTGCAGCTTCAGTTGAAGGAGAATGAGAAGCAGGTGCAGCGGCTTCAGTTGAAGGAGAATGAGAAGCAGCTGCAGCTGCAGTTGAAGGAGAATGAGAAGCAGCTCAGTGCAGCTACAGCAGTTGAAACGGGATAATAGGGATTTTTCCAATTACAACAAGCGCCAACTGTCCACTTGATGATTTTGTGAGTGGAGTATATTTTGGCACAGTGACTCGAAGGAAAGAAACGAAATTCCAACTCAACAAAGCTCGTGTCTGACCTGCTTGAAGGATACTGCTGTGTGAGAAGCGAACACACAGGACACGAGGGAGGCAAATGAGTGAACATAAGAACATCGGAGATGTAATCCCATGACTCAAAGGTGTGTGTTTTGATTGATGATTGAAAGCGGCAGGATGATTGTCACGTGCAAACACAGGTCTGGTTGAGACGCTGTTTATGAAGGCTTTACGGTCGGCAAGGATAAGGTGGTCCAATCCGCGGTAGTAGAGGTGCCGCAGAGGGACTCGAACCTGATTAAGCGAGGGCTGATCTCCACGAGTGACATGAATCAGCTCCTGTAAGACCAATAAAGCCTTCAGACGAGCAGTATGGGAAGAGACTGGGCTACTAGAGGACGTCTTCAACGAGCCGCAGTATGGGAAGAGACCGGGCTACTAGAGGACGTCTTCAACGAGCAGTATGGGAAGAGACCGGGCTACTAGAGGACGTCTTCAACGAGCAGTATGGGAAGAGACTGGGCTACTAGAGGACGTCTTCAACGAGCAGTATGGGAAGAGACCGGGCTACTAGAGGACGTCTTCAACGAGCAGTATGGGAAGAGACCGGGCGCGGCTACTAGAGGACGTCATCAGAGGAGAAGAGATTTTTCTCAGTGATGAGACTCCGGTTTGCCTTGGGCCCGCCCCGGAGTCTGGAACGATTGGGAGATGCTGGGGGAGATGGCTGAGGGAATGAGGATGGCCGCGCTGATGGCTGGCTTGTGCTCCTGCTCCTGCTCCTTCATCGGAGTGACCCAACCTAGATGGCCTCTGACCTCAGCAGGCTCAGCTCCTTCCCCCTCATTCATGTCCTCTCGATCCTCCGCTGCTGCTGCTCGTCTCTGTATGCAGAACATACAAGATGGGGGGCCGAGGGTGCGCGCAGCGACGTGGAGCACGCGTGAGTTTGACAGCTGGATGGACCTGCTCGGCATCTCAAGATGTGTGCAAGTCGACAACATTGACGGATGTGGTAGGGGGCTGAGGGCAACAAGAGACTTGCTCCCCGATGAGGTCGCGTTGAAGGTACCATCGGAACTTCTGCTATCAGACCAAACGGTGCTACATCACTCGAACTACGAAGATATGCAAGAGGGAATGTCATGGAGCTCAAGACTAGCTCTGGGCCTTCTGAACGAGAAGTCGAGGGGAGACAGGTCTGTACATCGTGACTACATTGGAATGCTTCCTGCCCCGCCACGAGTGCTGAGCAGGTGGAAGGAGGACGAGCTGGTGGAGCTGCAGAACAGAACCCTTGAGGGAGAGACGGATATGATATACTTCTGGAGGCACGAGAACTGGGAGGATACCATCACGTCGGCAGAAAGAGTTTTGACGGGCTCTGAGTTCGACTCGTTCCGGCAGAGGATTTCGCAGCAAGACTTCCTCGACGCTCATGACCTGGTTTGCTCGCGAGCGATCAAGTTGGAGACGGCAAGAGGGGTGGAGCGATTCTTGGTTCCTGTCTTTGACTTGGCCAACCATTCGCCGAGGGGCGGAAGGTATGCCATGGACGAGGATGGGAACGTGTGCCTGATCACTGGCATTGAAGTCACGCGGGGAGCAGAGGTAAGGGGATGACGCTAAAGGTGCATGCTTGCACGGTAATGAGGGCACAGGTCTGCTTGGACTACGGAGGGAGGACGAATGATCAGTTCCTCCTGCACTACGGTTTCGTTCCCCATCGAAACCCCTCCGACAGGGTCAAGGTGCTCCTGCCAGGTCACTTGTCTCCCGCTTGTCTCCGCACTAATGCCACCCGAGTAGACGGATCGCAACATCACATCTCCTGGCTTGACCTCGGGGAGCCTCTCCACAAGAACGTGCGCGAGGCTGCTGAAGCCCTGCTCCAGACGATGCCGACGTCGGTTGAGGAGGATCTCAATCTGCTCGAGGAGGAGGCGGGCGAGCAGGCCTTGGCACTGCAATATCGGATCGGGAAGAAGCAGCTGCTGCGAGCCATTGCCGGGAAACAGGAAGCGTTTGACTGGTTTCTTGAGGGATTGTTCTGAGCAGCTTCGTGTTGGCATGGCATGCGAGGTCGAGTGACTCGTCTGTTTAATGTCAAACACCCGAGACATGAGAGAAGGTTCTTCAAGGGCTCTGGATGTCCTCAGCCGGCATGCCGTTTCCGTTGGTGTAACCCTCGCTTCGCTGCTGCTGAATGGCCTGATTGACCTCGTCGATAGTCTCGCTAGAAGGAGCTTCGTTGGACTCCATCACCTGATCTAGTTGTCACCCTCCTGCGTTATTAGAGCGTTCAGACATCACCGATTCGGGCATCATGGCATCAACACCGATGGCCTTGTTCACCTGGCAAGCAAGAGTTCAGATCCAGCATCGACAGTCATCTTGCAAACCACACCTCGATAGCATGATCCTCCTCTGGGCCCACTCCGTACTCAGCAAGCTTCTGCTCCTTCTGGAAGTACCTACGAAGACCAATCAGTCCCAGCGGAGGTAGCAGACAGGAGAAGCTCTACTTTGCGATGTCCTTGCGAGCAGCAGCGTCACTCAGGCCGTGCTTCTCCGAGACTTGCTTCAGAGAGCCCTTAGGCGCCTTCTCTAGCAACGGGCTTCGGCTGCAAGAGAAACCAATCAGACAGGCATTACAAAGATTGCAATGTAAACAAATTGAGCTAAAAGTGCACCTGGACTGACAATCCTTATCATTCGCAACACAATCCGATTTGTCGACGTTCACCAAGGGAGTATCCACAGTTCCGTCAGATCGCATAAAGAGGGGAGTGTCTAACTCCACATCTGTACAGACCTGCTCCCCAAATTAGGTTTCCTTTCCTAATCTACTGCGACATCACCTTGCCAATGCATTCTTTCTCGGGCTTCTTGTATTCGACCTCCTACACCAAGGTCAACAACCTCGATTAGATTTCGTCATGATTTGTACCGCAGCGAGCTTCTGCTGCTTGGCGAAGTAATGGCCGAGATCGGACTTAGCGTCAGCAGAAGAGTACTGATGAAGTAAAGTCACAAGGTCGAAGGCAGCACACTTGATTCAGCGGTTGCTTTGAGGAACCCAACATGAAAAGGAAGTTTCGGGATTCAAATATGCCGTCCTGAGACGTTTTTGAGGGGGCGTTTCAAGCAGATCTCACCATGTGCGAAGGCTTGCGAGCCTTGCCAGCAATCTTGGCCTGGGAGCTGAAATACTTGCTGAAGTCCTTGCTGGCCTGATTTGCCGTGATGCCATGGAGCTGTCCCTTGGCGACAGAAGGCTGGGGGATGGTATCCTTCAAATGATTGTTGTTGGCTCCATGCCTGTCTGAAGTCAATAATCTTCTTGCATCACCACCATATATCAGGTCCTCACCTGGTAGCAGCCAAGTGGTTGAAGTAGGAATTCAAGTCCTTGTTGCTCTCGCTGACCGTATAATGAGCTGGGGTCGCGGTCTGTCGGAGGGATTGTCTCCTGGACTTCTTCGACATGCTATTGAAGTATGCAAGGATCTCGCTGTCAGCCTTCTGTGCTGAGATCTTGTTCATCTTTCCCCTGTTAGTGTCCTTCAGCATGCCGTTGTTGAAGGCGTGCTTGGAGCTCGCGAGTTGCGACCAATACTTTCCCAAGTCAGATTTGGCTGTGCGAGCGGTGAATGAGTGGGCACGCTTGATAGAGGCCGATTCATCCTCTTTTGCATCCTGCTCAGAAAACCTGTTGAAGATTGCTTGCGTCTGAGCCTGAGCCTGGGCTGCTGAGATGCCGAACTTGGTTCCAGCGCGATCATGGAAATGAGATTTGGCGTGCATGACAGGCTTAATAGCAACCCTCTTCCTCATCGCGTCTTTCTGCTGAAGGGCAAAGTATGCATCAAAGTCGCGAGATGCTGCATTGGCTGACATCTTCCTCTGCTTCAACGACGACCCACTCTGGGACTTGTCAAACAGCGGCTGAACGCTAGTCTGGCAATCTGGATCAGTGTCCTTGTTACAGTCAGCATGGTTCACATCCACGAGAGGAGCGTCCATGCCATCAACGATCTCATCCCCGCATATTCCTCCCACGCACTTGGGGTTCGATCCTCGCATGGGCCGAGTGTCGCGGGCATCTCCTGCTGCGAGTTTTTGGGAGAGCGACACGTTTGCGCGCGAGGAGCCCAGGACGATGAGCCCAGAGATGCACACAATCGCTGCAACAACGAAGAGTGGAAGGAAGCTCAAGAAGGAGGAGGAGGAGGAGGAGGAGGGAGCGCGACGCGTCTTCCTCGTAGGAATCGCCGCCGTCCCATAGTGTGCCATGGCCGGATGGCTCTTCACACGGGGTTCAGTACCGGTGTTTTCACTCGGCATTTTGGGGGTATTCGTAGCATCCAATGTGAGCAGATTGGAAGAGGGTAGGTACAAGGAAACGACTTGTAAAACTTGAATGTACCGGTACCTTATAGATGTCAATTGACTGTATAGTAGCGGTCATTCTGATGGATTCTTCTAAAAAGACTATGTGTACGGGTGGAGGGTGAGTACCCCCACCCCCCAAATAAATGATGGAGCGATGGGTATGAGTTAAAGCAAATAAAAAAACTATCTTGTAAGAGTTGTTGGCAACAATGCGGAGGGCTTGGTTGCGTGCTCGAGGTCCGATGGCTCCTCTGATCCCGCTGGGAGGGAGAAGCTTCAAGAACTCTGCTGCTACGAGGTACAAGGAAGTCAAATTCGTCCCCCACCTCGAAGAGCAGACCATTCAGAACCCCTTCCCTGGTCTGAAGACTTTGGAGCGAGCCATTGGAAAAGAGATAACCACAAGGATAGGATCGAACGAAAGCATTGCGATGAGCGATCATCCTCTTTCCAGCATCCTTCCACCCGAAGTCTTAGATCTTGTACGTCTGTATCCCGACCCGTACTGCCGAGATATCCGCGCGTTCCTGGCAGAGAAGTTCAGGATGGCAGAGGACGAGATCATAACGGATGCTGGTGGTGACAGTCTTATATTCCTTGCGCTGAGGTCAAGGATTTCTCCCGGTGACGTCCTCGTGACATCAGCAGGTTCTTATCTCTTGTTAGTTGCATCTAAACGCGGCTGAAATGTTAGCAGGAACGTACCCCACTGTGAACTACTTGGCTCAGGGCCTTGGCGCAAAGATTCTTGAAGTGCCATATGCACAAGAGAAAGACAATCTGAAGCCGTCGCTTCAAGATCTTGCAAAGACAGCCATTGAAAACAAAGCTGATGTGCTGTATGTTGCGAACCCCGACAACCCTACAGGACAAGCGTTTACCTCGGCGGAAATCACTAGATTGCGATCATGGTTGCCTGAGGACACCACGTTGATTTTAGATGAGGCGTACATCGACTTCTGTCCCAACTATGCAGTAATGGACAGATTGCCCAACACAATCCAAATTCGCACGATGTCGAAGGTGCCCGATTGTGTGATAATCGCCTTTACCTCTGACGAAAACCGCAGGCATATGGGTTAGCAGGCATAAGACTCGGTTATGCATTCGCAAGGGCGCAGTGGGTGGAAAAGGCAGATCAGATCAGAGTTCAGTTCACGACCAACAACTTGACAAACTTCTTGGCAATGAAAGTTCTGCAAGATGTTAACTTTTCAAGGAGGCTGATAGATGAGACTGTGCAACTCAGAACGCAGCTCACTGAAAAACTGAGATCAAGTACGTGTTTCTCTCTCATTACATTTGCAGATTTTCCGTGCTGATCACTTGTCGGCAGAAGGTCTGAAAGTTTTGGCCTCAAACACAAACTTCGTGCCTATTATTTATCCCAGCAAGAGCGACGCCATGGCCCGCCAGAAGGTGGGGACTTGAGATTCGGAAATGGCTTCATCCTAATTTGTCACAGGCTCTGTGGGACATGGGAGTTGCAGTACACCGTCCTCCTCATCCTTCGATGCAGCATGTTTTAAGGATTACAGCAAGCCCGCAGGCTCTCGACGACGCAATCATCTCAAGATTGGTGTAGCGACAATTCATTGCGGCCAAGATGGTAAATCAAAGCAGGAAACATCCTTCTGAGACGTGCATCAGATCATGCTTGACCGGTTTCTTTCCTCGTGAACTGCATCACATCATACCAGTCCGTGATTGTCAAAGTTTACTGATTACAAAATTGGATCTAGTGACCGACGACCTCTCCGTTGGGTCCCTGATCACCCACAACTCCCTCCCGACCTGCCGCACACAACGTCATCTCAGTGTTCCAGCATCGTTGCCATCCTCCAGCCTCACCTTCACTTCCCCGTCGCCCATATGTGCCTGGAGCTCCTGGTTCTCCCGACGGACCCGCTGGACCCATGGGTCCAGGCTCCCCTGGATCGCCGATGGGACCCGGAGGGCCTGGGGTACCTGAGACAAACGACTTCAGCTCCTCTTACACCGAGCTGCTGCAGGCACCTGGTGCTCCTTCCCTCCCGTTCTTTCCTGGCAAGCCCGGAATCCCCATGATTCCAGGAGGACCCGGCGTTAAACGCACAAGAGCGATCTTCTCAGACAGCTTTGTGTTCTGCTCCTGCACCTTGCGAATGACACTGTCTGTCTCATCACGAATCCAACGCTTTAACTCTCGAATCTTTTCCCCGATCTCTTCGCTTCTATCCCTTGTACTCTTCAGCTCTTTCTCAAGCCTCTTTGCCTTCTCCTCGTCACTCTCCTCCTCCTCCTTGGCTTGCTTTGGCAGCTTTTGGTCGTCGTCCTCCTCATTATCTTCTGCAGCTTCCTACAAGAGCTCATCTCATCCCATGAATCAATGAGGACTCAAAAACACAGATCCAATATCGCAAGATTGAGCGAGGTGTCACGACAGCACTACAAGAGAGTATAGACAAACATTACCTGGGCTCCCGGGAATTGTAGAACGATTCCTTGTGGAGGAGATGGATAGGTCGAGGGCAGTGCAACATCGCCCGTGATCGCATATTTCGCTAGGGACTGCATTTGGGCAGGAGTGGATCCCTGGTAGAGCTGGTTCACTGGATATTCATACAGCTCGGTTCTCGATGTGCTGTCTCCATAAGACATCTGAAAGAGAAAATTATCATCACATTCTCAAGAAAGATGAGAGAAGACAAAGACAAGATAAATCATAGGAACATTGCATCGTTTCAGAGCTGCTGACTCGCCAGTCTCTTCAGGAAGCATAGATTGACCGTCCTTCACAGAGACGGCACAGAGACAAGATGGGAGAGCGTGAGGAACCTGGAAGAGGGAAGCTCCGAGCATGAAGCAAGCGACCGAGAGCATGGCCACTCCCACGAGAGACGCTGCTGCCCGCTCCCTCGTCTCCACCGCCATTGCTGCGCCACTTCGCGATGCAGGTTGAGTGAAAAATCACATTAATAAAGCTATTGTAGCACTCCTCCAAAACAGTTTTAACAATTATAATATGTTATTTTACTAACAATATGTATAAAATCAATACAATATTCACTTAATCTTATTTCCATTTCAGTAACATATCGAAAATATAAGCTTATATAGTAGAAATACTAGTATATGATAAAACACTTCTGTAATAAAAAAAACATATATAAAATAGGATTTCTACCTGGACTTCGGTGGCAGGTACAAACAATGTTTTAAAAGTAGTTTTGATGCGGGTAAGTTTGCAGGATGAAAATGCTTGAAGGAGGTAGCAGGGTGCAAGGGATGGTGTTTGAGTGGTAGGCGTGAAGAGGGAACATCAGTTTGAACAAGTTCATCCATGAAGACTTTAGCTGTTGAGATGGAGAAACACGAGGGAAGGAGGGCGAGAGCAGGGGCGGTTAGGCTCGAGACTCTGAGATTGCAACCCGATACTGATGTTGAGGGTCGGCGAGTTGGTAGAGGAGGCGAAGCAAAACAACGGTAGGGCACAGGACGAGAAAACCACAATATTATCATACAAGATGCACACATGCATCTGAACTACATGTTGCCCTCTGGTCTGTTTTGATGACATGGTTGTATGACGTCAGGAACTGCGATGTCATTATCAACCCTCAAATACAACAGTCACGTCAAACTCCTACAGAGGCGAGAAGTGTCATTCCCGAAAACGTCTGACAAACTTCATTCATCTTCCTACGTTTCATTGACTCCTCTTCATAGAACTTTCTACGGAGACCATGATTTCGGGAGCATGAACAAGCGGCTGTACAGCTGCCGTTCGTTTGTTCGAAGATTAAGTATGGAAGCCCAGCACGACTGGCATGCAGGTGAAGCAGATGCTTCTGCAACTCAGTCATCTAAACTTGCTGCATCTTATCTTATCAGGATGTGTCAACACCATTCACTTTACCTCCTCTGGGTGCGCATGAGCTTGAATACGTTGTTCTCTTACTGAAATGATCTTGGCAGGCAAGAACTGATTTCTGGCTCGGATGATCTCAACATTGTCGTTGGAGATTGGCAGACTGGAATGATCAAACTTTGTTATGAGAGCGGACACGTTGGGAATGTTTTTCAAGTCAGTTGGCGCTGCGAGGTCATTAGAGTTTGAAGATGATCCGTCTTGCAGGCAAAATCCTTGCCGTCCAAGAATGATATGATCGTGACTTGTGCAGCGGACGGTCAGGTTGGTCAGGGGTGAGCATCGGGCCTATAGATTGACGTTGCAATACAATCAGGTTCGCTATGCTGAACTTCGAGAAGGATCTTCGGGGGTGCACACAAGACAAGCTTGCCGACATTTCGGCCCGGCCCACAAGTTAGCCATCGAACCTAGTGGCTCGCAGATCGTCTTGTCTGCTGGAGAAGACTCTTGTGTTCAACAGGTGCATCAGAGGAGAAGGAAGCTGAAGGAAGCTGACTCCTTCCTTTAGATTGACTTCCGAGACCGGAGGGGAGGAAACACGATCCTTAAGGTTGCAGAGGAGACGGGAGCTTCGGGTCGAGGCAGGAAGAGGAAGATCAGCTTGTAATGTCTCCCGAGACTCTCAGGCTGTTGCATTGACATAGTAGTCTGCAGGTACTCAATCAGTATGAACCCGATGGATAAGAACTATATCTGCTTCGGAGGGTCCGACTCGTGGTGCAGAATTTATGATAGGAGGCTGTTGAGTCACGATGCGCCCGAAACAGGGAAGCCTGTGCACAGGTGCATTAGTTGTTCTAAGTACAAAGATTGGGACAGGACGAGAACAGGAAAGGGGGATGGGAAAGGAGGGAAGGAGAGGCAGCGGAGGGGAGCAGAGGTGGTGGGAGAGATAGGACGACCTTGCAGAATCATGCAAAGGAGAGTGAGAGCTCTGATGAGAGTTTTCAGATTCATTCCAGAGGAACTCATGGAAAGTCCTAGAATGCACATGATCACATGTGCAGGTGATATGAGCTGTCTGCAAGGTTTGAGAATGACGATTTCCGTTGCATAGCATATTCTCATGACGGGAGTGAGATAGTTGCCAATTACAACAACGACACAGTGTATTTGTTCGACAGACGGAGGTCGTTGCATCTCTCTCAACCTCTGGAGGTTGCAGATTTGAAATTCTCACACAGAAACGAAGAGCATGAGGTATCTAGGTACAAGGGGCATTGGAACGACAAGACTATCAAGGTTTGTGAACGACAGAGCAAGACTTGGATGCTTATGAAGGACTGGCAGGGCATCAACTTCTTGGGAAAGAGGAGTGAGTACATAGTGAGCGGGTCGGATTGTGGATCTATTTTCATCTGGGACAAGGCGACTAGCGAGATCCTCTGGGTAGCAAGATATCTTGTGACTGCCTCCCTACGGCATTCTTCCTTCCTCAGTCTTGCCCCCTCTATCTGCTCAGCTCAGCTTTCCCCTTTTCTTTGCCTCCCTCTCCTTCTCTTTTGCTGAATCTCTCCTCCTCCTTCCTCCCCCCATTTGCTCTTCTTCAACGTTGATATCCAGAGTTTCTCAGCTTGTTTCACAGGTTCAGAAAGGAGATTCGGATGTTGTGAATTGTCTTGAGCCTCATCCTCACTTGCCAGTGAGTGTTTGCAGTCCATGTTCTCACTTGCAACGCTTGCTGACTTGCTCGGGCATCTCGAGCTACTATTTCGATACTTGCTGCTGATTGTTGGTTGTGCTGTAGATCTTGGCGACCAGTGGGATAGGCAACGATGTGAAGATCTGGAGTCCGCGTCGAGACAGCGGCATGACGATAGAGGTTGGCGGATTGACTTGCAATGTCTTCTTTGCCATGACTGCTGGGATTGGAAGGAGCGAGATGGATATCTTCATGACATTCAGCGGGTAATGAAAAGAAAGCTGATGTCTTTGAAAGTACTCCACTGAAGTTTGATTGTGCAGGAGAATCAAGGGCGGTGAGTTGAGGCTTCATGACGTTGAGATACTTCTCATTCCCCTTGATATCTCACAGCATCCATAATGCTTCTGCGACATGCTACCTTCCTCCTGACGATCGTGACAGCAACCATCTTTCTCTGTGGTCGTCTATTCTTCATCAGTTCCCGATGGTTCTTGTTGTTCATGTGCTCGCTTGCCGCTGAACCTCTCTCCAGCTCAATGCTTCTGAGCTCATTCTGCACCCCGACTTCGAGGTCGTCTTGAATCACTACGACGACGATGACGACGACGACGACGACGACGACGACGACGACGACGTGAGCGATGGTAGTAGCGACGAGATGGAGGATGAGAACGAGGACGAGGACGAGGACGAGGACGAGAGTGACGGTGAGCACGACGACAAGGATGATTCGAGTCAGGATGGTGACGACGGAGATGATGACGGAGATGGAGAAGCGCTCGAGGGTCCACGATCGAGCAGGGCAGAAGAGGGCGAGGACAAGTTGAGTGGAAAACCCAGCAAGGAGGATGCGGACGAGAGTCATGATGCCCGGCAGCGCAAGCAGCAGCATGAGGTCAGCGATCAGCTGGGGGTTAGCTCGGGGTTTCCTTTGTCAGCTTACCGAGATTCAGCTGGTGAGCAGCAGAGGGCAAGGAGGTCTCCTCTATGCCCGGCTGGGCCCCATGGAGGCAAGAGAGGCCAACAGGATGAGCAAAGTGACAAGGTTGAGAGCTGCAAGAGGAGGAGGAGAGTGTTTACCAGCGTGTCCGACGTGGTGGACTACCTCCAGGAGCTCCAGTCCGAGGAGCCTGACAAGCCTGACAAACCTGATAAGCCTGATAAGCCCGATGACAAGGCTGACGAGCTGAGCAGGAGCCCTCAGACTGCAGGCTTGACATCTGCTGATCTTCTTCACGATCTCTCATCCGATAGCGACTGACATGACGAGGAGGAGGAAATAATGATCTGATTGAAACTGTGAAATCAGCCTGTTGTTTGGTCTTCCGAGTTCCATTTGCGCACTGCGGCAGGCCCTGAGGCGGCCCGGGGTGGGACCGCTTACCGTAGTACGCTAAGCCCGGCCACCGTCACTACCGTAGCCTACCGTAGGAGTCGGTCAGTACAGTCATGCCCCGGGCAGCCGCAGTATTTCCACAGTTTGGCAACAAGGGAGCTCAATAGTACATACACTGTGATTGTTCTAGATTTAGGACAACAAGGACTGAGATTGCTCTAGATTTAGGACAACAAGGGAGTGTACTTGTTAAGTTATAGTGATTGCTCTAGATTTTTTTCTTTTTCCGACTTTACAAGGAGCCGAAGTTGCACGTCTACCCTCCCTATGGAATGATACCACTACCCCCCTCCCCCCTACATACTTGTGGAGAGTACAGGGGTACTGACTCATCATTGAACCAGCGGTACTAAACAGAATCATTCTCAGGGACAGGGGTGGGTGGGGGTGATGAAGAAAAACATCATAGAGGGGATGTCCTGCTGCGACCCGCCTCTGCTGCCGTAGACGGTGCTGGCACCATGTCAGCTCAGCTGGAGGATGAGGGGAGGAGAGGAGGGAAAAGGGAGAGGACATCGGTCCACTGGTTCCCCTCTCGCAGCTTCCTTGTTGCGATGGAACTAGAAAATATATTTGTGAGGGATTTGTGACAGGTGCAATGGGTGCCAAAGAAAGTACTCGATGTGAGATTGAGGACAGCAGGTCGGAAGGTTGACTGCAGAACGTGCTATCCCAGAGATGATGTGAACACGTTAGGATTTACCCAGAATCAGGGCATTTTGGCCCATTCCAACTTGTTCACTCGCTCATTTTTGCTTGTCATCCCTTTTTCGTTTTTTTCCTGTCGACAATCCCAGAGATTCACATGTTCTGCATGCCGTGGATGTTTTTGATTGTAATGATGGTGCCGTGGATGTTTTTGATTGTAATGATGGTGCCGTGGATGTTTTTGATTGTAATGATGGTGCCTTGCCGCAGGCTCGCTGATACATCGAGTCGTTGAGGCGCGAGGCGAGCGCCATGTGGCTAGAGATCAGCATAATGAAGTCAGAGGGCAAAGTGCGGTGAATCAGTGAGGCGAGACAAGTCAACAGCAGCGAGAATGGCAGCAGCTGCGGTCACCGTCTTGCATTCAGACCGAGCTGCCTTGAACATCAAGACGGAGAATGAGAACCTCATGGTTCTTCCTCCCCCCGAGCTGCACATTCGCATGGGCACGCTTGAGAAGCAACGAGTTGGAGCAACAGTGAACTGGGAGCCAAGAACCGCTGTTCTCACGGCACAGAAGCTTTACTTCTCCAAGAAAGACACAGACATTATCTTGGACGAAATCCCATTGCAAGAAATCAGCGAGATTCTGCAGAATGCAGAACAAGGTCAAAAGCTGAAAGAGCCACCGTCGATGGTCATCCAGACTGTTTCAGGCGGATACAACAGTGGCAGAACATATGTTTACCGAGCTGAACAGGCAGAGGATCACGAATCTTGGTATGCCGACCTGTGCTTGTACAGGGACAAAGCAATCCAGTATCAAGAGAGGTTGGCAAAGAAGATGCTCAATTCAGGGAGTTCGTTCAATCAGTTCAGACAGAGAGTCCTTGAAATCTACGAGTCAGGCCCAAGTCAAGCCTTCTTTGCCAGTCTCATATTCGCAAGTTTTGCCATCGATCTCTCCCAGGCAGAACTTCTTCCTCCAGACGGAACTTATCGAGCCAATCAGTTCGACACTGCCGATACGGTCTTCACCGTGCTCTTCACGCTTGAGCTCTGCATCAACTTGTTTGCAAGGTCCAAGCATTGGTTCAAGGCTTTTTTTGCAGACGGATGGAACATACTCGACGTAGTAATTGTTTGCGTGTCTTTGATGACACAATTTTCCTCCGGTATTCCTTCTATGAAGCCTCTACGATTGATCCGCGTGTTTAGAATAGCCAAGATTTTCAGAAGGCTGACATCACTGAACAAGATCATCACAGCCCTGGCCTCCGCTCTTGTTCCTGTTGGAAACAGTTTCCTTATTCTCTTCCTTGTCACCTGCATCTGGGCAGCGTTGGCGACTCACCTGTTCAGGTCTCGGAGTGAAGTTTTCTTCGGAAAATTTAGTGCGTCACTTTTCACGGTGAGTTTTTTTATCATGATCTCCTTCGCTTGGATTGATTCATTTTCCTCCGTTTGCGCTCATCAGATGTTCCAAGTCGTAACAGGAGACAGGTACCCCCCATTCACCTCGCTCCTCCCCCCCCTTGTCATCCCATATTTCTCTCTTCGTTCCCCCGTTGTACTTGTGTTCCATCTCTTGATATGTCCTGCTGATGTTCCATCTCTTGACATGTCCTGCTGATGCCGATATCAGTTGGGCTTCTGCGGTCACGAGAACGATCTTCGAGGATGGGATGCTCAAGACTTCAACCGACTACGGCATCGCCATCTTCTTCGTCAGCTACGTGCTCATCGCCGGTGTCTTTTTGATCAACGTGGTGGTGGCGGTTCTGTTGGATGAATTCATCTCGTCGATCCAGAAGAGGAAGCAGGCGATGCAGCGCGAGCACGAGGAGCTGGAGGAGAATCGCAAGGACGCCAAGAGGGCCAAGGGCGTCCTAGACCCTCTGACCAGCCACCTCGCCAACTTCGTCAACGACGTGGACTTGAGCTTGAAGATCAAACAGACGTACGAGCGGCTGGATCAGGACGGGTCAGGCGGTCTCAACCTCACGGAGTTTCAGAACGGAGTGAAGAAGCTGCCGACGGCGAACCCGATGCACATCCTGGAAGATGACTTCGACCTGCTGACGGATGGAGGGAGGCTGTGCAACGAGGAGGGGGAGTTCAGCTCCACTCAGTTCCAGACGATGATGCGAGAGGAGCTGCGGAGATTCTCTCAGAGAATGGCAGCGAATGCGATGAGCGAGACGCGGAGCCAGGAACTCAAGTCCATCCTCCTCATGCTCAAGGTGATGGACCTCAAGAGCGAGCAGATGGAGCGAGATGATCGAAACCCCAAGTCGCTCAGCGAGCAGGACAGCAAGGCTCTCGCGTCAACTGTCTTCGACGTCTGTGACAAGCAGAGGAGAGGAAAGTTGAGCATGCAAGAGGCGTCGCGGGGCTTCTCTTATCTCAAGGTCCCCTCTGATCGGCACGAGGAGATTTTCAACGGGCTAGGAGGAGAGGAAGAGGGTGGCATGACGAGGGAGCAGTTCCTGCGAGCAACTGTCTTCGCGCAGCAGCAGCAGGAGCAGCAGCAGGAGGACCGGCTCCACTTGATGCAGCAGCAGCTGACGAGGATGCAGAAAGATCTGGCAGCGGTCAAGGAGATGATGGTTACCTTGTGCCAAGGTGAGTCCGCCTCACCGAGACATGCGCGAGACGCTGATAAGGTTTTACAGGACGAGACGGGGGGGCCAGATGGGCGGAGGAGGAGCAGGACGTGAACGTTCGACTCCTGTCTCCTCCTGTCCTCTCCAACGGCAACGGGCACCTGCCACTGCCTGAGAAGAAGAAGAAGAAGAAGAAGACGGCTTCGACGAACGGAGAAGAGGCGTTCCAGCTGGAGGAGGGGCCCAGCTCAGCTCGAGCAGACGAGGTGCTCACGTACTTGTCGCTCAACTCCGACCACAAGAAGGAGCGTGTCAAGATCGTGGACAAGACGGGCAGCAGGAGGTCCTCCTCCTCCATCCTCGTTGACTGCGACGTCGGGCTAGTCGACAAGAAGGACGCGAGGAGGAGCGTGAGGGATTCTGAGTCTCCCCGCTCCTCCACCCCAAGGAGCGTCAGCAGCGTCGTCACACCAAGGAAGAAAGAGCGGAATCTGAGCCTCTCCCTGCTGGAGTACAACACTGTGCTCAACGGGGCACGAGGTGCAAGCAAGAACGACAAGTTCATAGATCAGCCGAGGTCTGCAAGAAGAAGCTCGGAGCAGCCGCAGACGGTCGGGAGGAGCTGGGAGGACGAGGAAGACTTGTTCGAGTATATGACAACGGCTCCTCCCTCCTCTCGCCCACTGGCCGTGGGAGTGAGTGCGCAGGATCACACGAAGAGCAAGATGACAAGGGGCAGGAGGCAATCTATGTCACCTCCTCGACCCTCCCTGTCACCCCCAACTGTACGAGCAGACGAAGGAGGAGGAGGAGGAGGAGGAGGAGGAGGAGGAGGAGGAGGAGGGAGGGGGACCGAGGCGTGGGGAGCGGAGGTTACCGACCGT